TTAACGGGTCGGTTCAACAGCCCAATTCTCTATGAGAAGAATTGTTGGGTAGGGATATGGTTGAAGGTGGTGGTGCGAGAGGCCAAGGTATACTACTTACTGAGCTCAAAAATCATTATGCGACTCTGGAGTTGAACGAAAATTCCTCTGAGCTAGCTAAGGTAATAAAAGCTAGAAATTATATAATGATACTTTTTGGAACCTTTTTATTTCCAGAAAGTACGGGGAATAGTGTAAATTTCATGTATTAAAATTTACTTAGAGACTTTGAAAAAACTAGAAAGTATAGTTGAGGTTCTGCTGTTTTAACCCATCTATACAGTTCCTTGTGTAAAAATGAAATCAAGGAAAAATATACCTTTTATGGCTGCACTTTTTTACTTCAAGTCTGGGGTTGGTGGAGAATGGAGTCCCTAAACCCCGTCAAAAACAATGCATTTGTTTTCTCATACGCAACAAATTAAGTCAATAACTTATATCATTTATTATTATTCATCTCTTCACCAAATATATGGTAAAAATAAAATATTTTCCATTCCTTTAGGTACTGCGTGAGGGGTATGGATTACGGCAAGAATCCAAGATTTAATGTCGCTCTATATCGCAATCTATTGGATCACCTTGGCCCGGATGATGTACGTCATACCTTTCAACTTTTCTACTTTTAAATTATTTATTTATTATATTTTTATTAAGCTGATTTAATTTTATCCGCAGTTTGTCTGGAGACCATATTTGGGTTTGGACCATGAACCAAACTCCGAGGATGCAGCAATTTGGAGCGCAAAGACTGCAATCGTACGGTTCGATGTTGTGGAGATGCACCACAGTGATTGTGTCAAGATGTAGTTTGGAATGCATCAAGAGATACCCTGCGATCCAACTTGTTTGTCCCCGTGGAATCTCAAAAGGGTCGACGCCCAATGGGGTCTTACCAACTGGAAAGATTTTGCTCCAGAATAGTGTAAGATGTGGCAGAGGCATCACCGACATGTCTTGCAATTCCCAATTTTCCTCAACCATTGTAATATGCGACACACAGATCAATATTTAGCTTGGTACATATCGGTTAGTATCCCAGAAATGCACGTGTCTCATCTAAGGTATTTGGTTAACCCACGAACACAATGGGCATAATCCTCATTTCCCCAACAAGAAACCCAACACACATCAACCTCCTACCAACCTCCCCGGTGAAATAGAACCACAAACACCCAACCACAATCACCACCACAATACGATTACATTCGCATGCCCCACAACCAACCACAATCACCACTTCAATACCAATGCTCCCACATGCCCCACACTCAACCACAATTTCAATCACAATACCAATACACCTGCATGCCCCACACACAATTCTAGTCTTCTACGTATCCCAATATGGGCCCCTCAATATCTAACCTTAGCCCTGATCTGGGATTTTCCGAAGATTATGAACCAACCGACCCAACTTATCATCAACCACCACACCACCAAAGCACCCAACATTCCCAATACCAAACACCCCAGGATTCATTTCCTTTCTACCCCGTACTCAGACGACCAGTAGCGGATCTTTTAGATATGGAGATCTGATCGATTTCATGGATCTGGAACGCATTGACTTCGTCGGGCCATCGATCCTGCCACAACAGGAAATGCAACGAAATCCACCACGAGAAAGGCGAGGACGGGGATGCATAATTGCGGGTCGTTACCGGGTTCTGGGGGACCACTGATTATTTTATTTTTTTTATGTAATCGTTTTGTGTAATTATATTGTGTAAATAAAAAGTCAATTTTTCGTGATCCTATATCGTTTACGTAACATCCCGCATTTAAAATAAAAAACGCGAAAAATCGCCTCCCCGTTGCACTAAGGCGTCATCTCACTTGGTTTAGGGTACAAATTTAACACTTAGACGTCAAGTGAGATGGCGCCTCCCCTTTAAAATAAGGTGTAGGTGCCAATTGAGATGGCTCCTTCCTTGTGGAGTTTTCTTAAACATGATTATTTGTGTAATTTTCTCCGAAACATAGTTATTTGCGGGGGGAAAATTTAATACCTAATTATTAAAAAAAAATCGTTAGTATTATTAATGTGATATATGGTTTTGAGTATTTTGTTTACTATTCATCTTGCTGGATTTTTTTTATTTTTTGTTGAGTTAATTTTGCTTTTGTAATAATAATAAAGATATAAGTGTTGCGTAAACAGTTGTTTGGGATTTGGTTGGTAATTTGAATGAGCCAACTTTGTGAGCATTTGCTTTTATAATTTTCACAATAGTTTTATTTGATTTGTGTATAAAAATTACTTTATCATGGATTAATGGTGAGAATATTGTTATGTTTGTAAAAGGAACTCTAAAATAAGAGAAAGATACATTAATATTCTGGTGCACTCTATTATCATTTTTTTTAGTATGTAATGTGTGTTTAAAATCTGTCAATTTAAAGTAATTTGACATTAAGAGAAGGATGCACTCCTGATCTTTTCTTAGGCATGTCTTAGAATTTGATTGTAACGTCTGATGGAAGTTCACACCAAAAAGAAAAACAATCATACACTTATTTTTATTTAATGTTTTTTTTCTTATAGAAATAGCATATTTTATTAACTTATGTATTTCTATTGGTTACTTCAATACAAGTATAAATAGTGTAATTTTATATTTAATGATATCAGATAATCCTCTAATTTGATAAGTAAATATTCAAATTTATTACTTTATATATTCTATTTTCTTATGAATATAAATATCGAATTATAATTGGATAAAATTATTAATATTTTTACAGGTCTATTGACATCTATTGTTTGTTCAATTATAAACCTATTCAGATGTATTAAGTGTTAAATTATGTCTATTCAACATTTTGAATTGGTAATTTTTTTTTTTAATATTTTAAGTGATTGTTTATCTTTCAGAAATAAATCTTATATCTTAATTTCCTAATTATTTACCGTTATATTTTATATAAAATTAATTACTATTTTAAATATGAGACTAATTATATATATATATATATATATATATATATATATATATATATATATATATATATATATATATATATATATATATATATATATATATATATATATATATATATATATATATATATATATATATATATATATATATATATATATATATATATATATATATATATATATATATATATATATATATATATATATATATATATATATATATATATATATATATATATATATATATATATATATTGTAAAAATTTTTACATAATTAGTGCATCACAACCATCCACTAATATTATTTAATAAAATAATTAAAATAAAAATAAAATATAATTTACAATCTAACGATCATGATTCACTGACGGTGTAAAATTTATTTACATTGTTAATGTATTTCAATTAAATTCTTTAAATATTTATTCTAATATATTTAAGTTTATATTATTATTATTAATCACACATTTAAATTTAATATATATTATTTTTGATACATTTATAATAATTATATATATTATTTCAAAAAAATTAATTGAAGAGTTGTAAATTTAATGGTGTTTCTCTATCATATTAATTTCATGGATACTATATCATTCAACTTTGTATAATTAAATAGAATAAATAAACGAAAATTACTTAAATGAGAAAGAAAAATATACATGACTTACATCGATAATTCCAAACAACTTTTGAAAAGATTTTAGTTTTAATTTTTTAATTGATATTATATATTTAAAAATTGAATATTTTTTTGGTAAGTTACAAAAATATTAAAACAAATTCTATTTTTTTTAAATTAACATTATAATTTAAAATTTTAAAAATTATTTATAATAAATTAAAAAAATAAAATTAAAGAAATTCAATTTTCAAACGTGACAAATTATAATATTATTATAATTTTATTTGGAAATTAATATTTTTTTTAATTTCAGAAATTTTATGTCACACGAAATTTCAGAAATTTTATCTCAGAAATTTTATCTCATACATCACACGGATAAAATTTCTCCGAATTGAAGAGAACGAAAAAATACTTCACTTCTTTCTCTCTTCCCTTACTCTCCAAATTTCTCCGAATTTCAAGAGAACGAAAAAAACTTTGCGGAGGGAATCTAACATACCCTAAAGGTTTGTCTGTTGGCTACAAAGCATCTATGAATTCTTTGAGATAAAAACACTTCTTTTTTCTGATCAAAATTTTGAAATTCATCTTCAATACAAAAACAAATTATCATACTTATTAAAAAAAACTCTTTCGTCTTGTACCTTATAAATTTTTTGAAAATTTTCCAAAAGAAAGAGTTTGTCAATTATAACTATTTGAAGATTTTCATCAAAATATTTGAATTATAACAACCATGATTAACAAAGTATATTGTGGATTTCATAGCATTAGGTCTCTGAATTTTCATCAATCATCTTATATTTATCATAATGTATGTTTTTGCACAAACTTCCTCGGTGCCATTATGCCATATTTCTTTGTCAAAGCATCTAGGTTTCTTTAGCAGCCTTATAGGCATTGTAAGAATCAGATAAAACATCACTAAGACCATTCAGATTTTTTTCTGCTAAGTTTAAATGTGTTCTAAACTTAGTTTGGATGAATTGGTCAAATATGGACGACGATAAAAAGCTAAAGGATTAAGCATGTGCTTAATCACCTTCCAAGATACACAACGTTTATATAACCTGGAGCTGCATAGCCACATTTTTTACAGAATGAAATACATAAACAAGATAGCTCTCGCCAATTTCATTGAATATATTTAAAGTTCCTGTTTGTTTCTCAAATATTGCTGCTCAGTTGGTAATACAAGATCTTATCTAATAACTGACAAAAGAGAGTTGATACATGAATTCAAACTCACTAACACAACATTCAGATGCCTGGAAAACCAGTAGCACCTTATTTGAATAATTTGGTGATCAAAACAAGGTGAAAACTAGTAACAAAATGTAGTGCCTACTGAAAGAGTGTATCATGCGTGTTCATCTTACGATTGTATTCCTAAGAGAGAATAGCCATGACATCTGAACTCCTCAATGTTATGTACTCGAAACCATCTTTTCCTTTGAAGTCATTACCAGCGTATTTGGAGTACAAAACTGTGTTCCCAGGAGTGACAGACAAAGGTTTTCTGTTGCCTTCCTCGTCCACAAGCCCTGGACCAACTGCTACGACCTGTAGCATCCAAGTATTAGAAAAACAATTTTCAAACACCCTACTGTTGATTGAAAAAAGTATTCATAGGACAGTTGCCAATCGACGATAACATGAAAGCTTACTGTTCCAAACGAATGTTTCTCCTTGGTTGCCTCTGTGAGAAACAAACCACCAGAGGTTTTTTCCTCGGCTTTTTCAATCTGCAGTATATATTAAAAACTAGTCAGCGACTACATCAAAAGTAATCAAAGGCACCACAAAGTATTAGAGACTAGTGTCTCTGAGTTACACTTCTGTATGAGAAGTAAGAGTACCTTTATCAGGACTCTATCGTTCAATGGTTTAAGATCCTTGATGTCACCAGTTTCAAGGATGCCAACAATGTCATCATCCTTCACGATAAGATGCTTCTCACCATTGAAATCCACCTCAGTACCTGCATACTTTGAATACACAACTTGTGCACCTGGCTGTACAAACAAAATGCATCGCATTAGTTAAAATTAGAGAGAACACCCCAAAAAATTAAAGATCGACCGTCAAAGGTTTAACAACATCAAAATTCAAATCGTTGCAACATCACCTTCACACTAATATCAACTTGGTTCTTTCCAAGTGTCTTTCCCTCTCCAACAGCAACCACCTCACCACCTTGAGGCTTTGTTTGAGCAGTTGATGGAAGCAAAATTCCACCCTCTGTTTTCTCTTCTGCGTCCTTAACTTTTACAAGTACTCTGTCACCCAGAGGCTTGATTGTGGTGTACTGCACAGTAAAACCACCACTCAGATACACATAGCATTGAATCATGATAATAGATACATCGTTAAAAGACAATTGTGGAAATTATATCTCAAGAATTCAGCTACAACTGAACCGTCATAAAGGCATTTCTTGTTCAATTAAAAGGAAAAAAGAAAACATTTATTAACGTGCATGATGGGATTTGAATTCTGTAACCTTGAGGTTTCAAGATCAAAGTATTAAGCACTGACTCCAACACCGATAATGTCAAAAACATAGAACACCGACACCGCTACATACGTTATAGTGTTCGAGCATCATTTATCCATCTAATATTAAAATAATTAAAGATTTGTCTAATCAAGATTAATGCCTTTAATTATTCATTGTTAACATAGCTTCAATACATGTTAAACCTTTTAGATATGTAGATTTGTCGAAAAAATGTATCAAGTGTGTTGAAACAGAGAAAAAAAACATTTTTTTTTAAACACTTATCTAAATTGTAATTGTCTGAGTGTGAGTGTTCTACGTACACCAATTAAAAGAGTGTCAAAGAAAAAAAAAAGTAATTTTTTAGGGACACTTATTTAACTTTTCTGACTATCCTGACACGTACATATGTCATACAAGTGCCGCACACCACGACACGCCTACTACTAGAGGTGTCAATGCTTCATAGCTTCTTGGACATATGACATCTCATTCAATTGTATCAACACTATTCTTCCAATCAAAAACCAAAACCATCAAACCTTTAAATCCTCACTTTTTTTTTTATTTAGCAAACCAGTTTCGATCCACATAGTGAACCGACTAATCTGATTTTGTGGTTCAGAGAAGACGACTCACTGGTCAAGCCTTGTTTCCACCAAGAATCGAACTCGGGTAGTACCCAAACAATTCGTCTTTAGTGGAAGCTCTTTTCCCACTAGAGCCCAAGTATTTGGTTCTAGAATCCTCACTTATCATTTCTATAAAAGCTACATAACTCAATTAACTCAAAAAAAAAAAAAAAAAAAAAACTTCACCCATGACCCACCAACATTCTTTCACAAAAACAACTTCCATAAAAGCATAGAAATTCAACTCCAAAAAGAACTTCACAACCACCAATAACAACTTTTCAATATCCAAATCCACCAAAATTAAAACAAGCCTTAACAACATAACCACAACATCAACAATAATAGCAAACAAAAACTACTTTCAATTCATCATTTTCACACCAAAAAAAAACCCACAAACCTTGGGGGCAACGACAGTGGCTGCTTTGACAACCACACCCTTGAAGGACCTTCGTGCAGGGTTACCAATCCTAACATTTTGAGCACCATGAAACTGAACTCCTGAAGGTCGAAGTCCTTGAAAGGATGCAACGTTCCTGGTAGAAATTGATGATGCTGTCAACTGAGAAGAAGCCATTTACACTGCAAAAGAAACAAAAACAATGATTTAACGTTGGTGATGATGTTGTTGTAATTCGAGAGAAGATTGTAGTTACCTTAATTTGTTGTTGGAAGAGGAAGAAGATAATGGAGGATTGGGTTTTGTGTGAGAGAGTGGCGTTGAAATTGAAATGAATTGAAGATAATAAAAACCCTAGAAATGAAGATTGGGAGGGTTTTATCTGTAACGGACTATTCTAGAATTAACTAGCACACTCGGAGTGTGGTCGTGTCACTCACGCGCCTACCCAATCAAGTTTGGGGATGTGTTTGGAGAAAGTCTCGTCGAGTCAAAGTATTAAGGCATAATAGTAGAATACTTTCATTTATATATTAAATTATTTGATAAGGTTTGATCATTTTAAAAAATAAGTATTATGGCCATAGTGACTCGTGATAAATCTATTTATATATTATGATTAATTGATAAATTTAAAATATGTAAGTTTGAAATGAGATATTTAATTATTAAAAAAAACAATTATCATAAAAGTTCAAGTGTATTAAATAATTATATCAAATGAAAAGAAATAGGAAATTAATGAGATGGAGAAAGAAAAAAAAAGAAATTTGAAAATAAAGATTTTAGTTTTCAAATAAAATTTAAGCTTAAATGTAGTTTTGACCTTTCTATTTTTATTTTTATGAACTTTTGAGCTTTTGTTTTCAGAATTCAGCATTTTAGTCCCTAAACATACTATTTTTTTGGCATTTTTAGCCCCCTCCAGAAATGCATATGTGGCACATAAAAATGTTGAGTTGTTCAAATCTTTGGTGCCACGTATTTTAAGTTAAATCTTCTATTGCCCTAAGTTCATTCTCTACTACCCTAATCCTTTCCTGCCCTAATCCTCTCTCTCCCAACGATCTTCCTATTGTAAATCAGATTGTCTCTTGCCCTAATCCTTTCCTGGAGGAATCGTCTCTTGCGCAACGACCAATGTTCTTCAGATCCGTTCGTTCTTCCACCGTTCTTTAGCTTCGTTCGCTCTTGAGCTTCAAAGATCTCCATCTTCCACCGTTCTTCAGCTTCGTTCGTTCTTCAGTTACCATGTCTCAGTATTCTGAAGCAAGTAGTCTAACCAAGTCTCCCTCTGTCCATGGCGAATGTAGATGTGGTCTCGATGCACCATTGATGACATCATGGACTGATGCTAACCCAGGACGTCGTTTTTACGGGTGTGGGATGTACAAGATTATAAGCTATCAAAAATTATGTAAATTATATCTGTAATTTTCACCAGTTATCACTGAGAATTGTTGTAAATTTCTTCTATAAATTTCTGTAGATTCAGGGGTATAAGTGATGCAATCATTTTGTTTGGTATGATGAAGAGATGGACCCTATAGAAAAAGACATAATTTCAACATTGAACCAGAGATTGAATATCGCAAAGCTCAAAATTGATACAGGAAAGATCCAAGAAGATGAATTGAACAGGAAGATCAGGAATTTGAAGAATGAGATCAAGTATTTGAAGTTGTCGATTGTTATGGTTGATGTGTTGGTAGTAGGACTAGTTATAGGAATTTTAAGGAATTAGGATCTCAAATATTGTTCAATGTTTTGTCTCAGTTTGTTCCAAATGTATCAATTAATGTAATATCATTGTTGTTCCAAATGTAATTTGAGTTTGTTATATCAAGATTTATATGAATGTTGTATAATATCTTGTTCTAATTATACCAGTTATATCAATGTTGTTCCAAATGTAATTTTAGTTTATTATATCAAGATTTATATGCATGTTATATCATTTTGTCTCTTCATGTATCTGTTATATCAATGTTGTTCCAAATGTATCCAAATTTATATGTTCATTACAGGTCATCTTGAATGGTTTGTTATATCCTACAAATAACAGATCAAGTTTATTTGAAGTTACATATAACAGATAACAGTTTGTTATATCCTACAACTAACTTGTAACGAGCTTCCAATCTCAACTTGAGTTGTCTTTTTCTTCTTTCCTTGGCCACCCTTTTTAGACTTCTTGTTATTTCCACCTGTTGGAATGGCTTTTTCAGCAACCTTCTTTCCCTTACAACTTCTTTTGTTGTGACCCATTGCTCCACGCTTATGACAAGTGACGGTTGCCAATCTTCTAGGAAAGACATGCGTATTTTTTGGTTCATCGTTAGCCTTGTTTCTCATTTTCTTTGGACGACCTATAGCCCTTCTCATAACTGGTAGATTCATAATGGACTGCTTATCCAAATGCCACAGTTGTGGACCATTAGTAGGGTAATAATGTGTGAGTAAATGTTCTTGAAATTACTCTTCCTGCAAGTTAGATTGCAATTAAACATAAACCAGTCAGATTGTCATTAACATAAACCAATTAGTGTTTAAATGATACTTGTAATATTGAGAAACATATTCTTCAGGTTTTCTCTTGATTTTCCACATACATGTGATAGAATGACTGCAAGGGATGCCAGTTAAATCTTATTTCCTACATGCACAAGTCTGTTTCTTTAGATTAACAACATATGTGTCTCTTCCATAAGTCACATCATATATTTCCATGTCATCATCATCATGCCATGTAAGAGTTTAATGACCATCTTTAGAATTTATAGCCTTATCACCAGCATCATCATAATAAATGCAGTTGTCTAATCCAAATCCACATTCTCTTTAATATTCTCACTTTCAGCATCATGCTTATTAGCCTCATGACTAGAACTACTTGTCTCACCCTCATTACCGTCATCCATTTCAACAAGTTTACTTCCAACTTCAACTTCAGCCTCAATAGGTTTACTTCCAACTTCAACTTCAACCTCAATAGGTTCACTTCCCACTTTAACTTCAGCCTCAATAGGTTCACTTTCAACTTCAACTTCAGCCTCAATAGGTTCACTTCCAACTTCAACTTCAGTCTCATCATGATTACTTATAATTTCAACATTAGAGTCAGCTTCATCATCAACATAGTTTGGACAACCATCAACATTATCCTCAACAGGAGTCACTTCTATTGAGTGCTCAACATACACATCCACCAAATCAAAACCCTTAATATCCTCGGCCAACTTAAGAACACCACTATCATAGTTTAGGGGTCTAAGGCCACGACTAAAGCTATACTTAGGGTTCCAATACCACATACACTTGATATTCATATATCCCTCTTCCTTTATCAGATTTTCTAAATCCATATACGACATGTAATTCGTATCCCACTTCCAATCCAATTCAGACATTAATCCATCAACGTACCATTTAACAAGACTCTCTACTAACTTTCCCCTATGATGGGATCTTATCTTAATGCAATGATTTTGAGATGGTCTGAATAAATAACAAACTTTCCATCAGAATACTGTATAAAACATGGTGAAAACAATATGAGGAAAAATAACGAGTTCAAAGAGCATACCTTATACATAAACGAATATCTTCTTTTCCTGTCGAACACGGTGGAATAGATAGAATGTTCCTCATCTTCGTTGTTGCATGGACGAATGGTAGAAGATAAAGATCTTTGAAGAAGGAATCTGAAAAACTAAGATGAAGAGGATTTAAGGTTTACGATAGGAAGATCATTGGGAGACAGAGGATTAAGGTAGAAAAGGATTATGGTAATAGAGAATGAACTTAGAGCAAGAGAGGATTTGACTTAAAATATGTGGCACCAAGAATTTGAACAGCTCAACATTTTTATGTGCCACATATGCATTTCCGAATGGGCTAAAAAAATACCAAAAAATATTATGTTTGGGGACTAAAATGCTGAATTTTGAAAACGGAGGTTCAAAAGTTGATAAAAGTGTAAATAGGAGGATCAAAACTGCATTTAAACGTAAAATTTATTATTGATTAAAATAAAATAGACATTGTGTTGAAAATGACCCATAAAAATAAACATTTTCGTATTCATGTGCTAATTTTGTGTGTAATAGTCTAATAGATAATTTAGTCAATTAAATAATAATTACTTTTTGAGTATCCAGCGAGGTGGATGAGTATCCTTTAAGTACTAACATGAGTATCCTTTAAGTACTAATTTTATGCCGGAAATCCATAAAAATATGCAAGAGTGGAAGAAAATCTTAATCATGTTATCAAGAATTGTCATTGATAGCTATCCATCAGTATATATAATCATGACTAATTTCATGCATGATTTCCCTTAAAACAAATCAATTCATGACTTCTCTAGAGATATAGTAAATTTTGTAAAAGAATTGTCTAAGTTTTTAAAATTATACAACTTTTGCTAAAATATAAAACAAAATCAAAATCTCCATATGCAGTACATGATGGGTTAATTTTCTATAAATATAGATGGGTAATTTCCACCAAATGTCCACTAATTGTGAAAATATCAAACGAATACAATAAGTACTTATTCCCTTATGTTACTATGTCTAAACAAAATATCTTGCCACTTAATCAATAAACCAGTAAATTTCTCTCATTGATTAGAACCCATCTCAAAATATAATCAAAGAGCATCAATTACTGCATTTTCAGTGTTAGATATAATCATTTGTATCATAATCATCTGCCAAATCTAGGGCTTGTATTGGATTGAATTGGACTAACTAATCATCAATTCATATTATTAAATAATCAGGTAAAGGAAATAACACTAAACTACTACTTTAGCAAACTCTCACCTACTGGATCAGGAGAAACCTTCCATTCTGTCATAAAAGACTTGGCAGTATTGTGCAACTTTTTCTTCTCCAAATAATCATATATTTGTAAACATCAAGCCTAACAGAAAAAGACAACAAAACGACAATGAAAATTAGAAGCAAACAACAAAACAACAATGGAAATCAGAAATAGTGAAGGTGTATTTTGCTAGTTACCAAAGTGTCCAAATGTTAGTTTAATTAAATTTGGAGGTAAGGACACAATGGAATGTTTGGTCAATCTTTTAGTAAAGGTTTGATAGTAGATTACAAATTCATGTAACATTTCACATTCCTAAAAATGAAATTATGAAAAGAGAAATCATTGAAACTTAATGCAAAGTAGTTACTGACCTCATTTTCACTAAAAATAACACTATGCATAAACAGATTGCAGTAGCAAAACACAGATGCCAAAACTTTATCACCTTGAAAATCAATTCATTGTTTATAGAAGTACTATGTCAATTAATTATCTTAATTATTTGATATTTCTAACATAGCAAGCATAGTAACATCAGCTGCACTTCCCTGTTGCATTTGAAACATCAGAAAACCAAAAAAATATAAATTGATTTCTAAATGCTATGAATTTCTATGGGTATAATGTAGCATTAATATATTTTTTAAAAATCGAGGACCTGGACTGGGGTATTAATAGCAGCGCGTTCAATGTGATGTTTATAGTAGTGTTGACCTTGGAATATATCGGGGAACTGTCGTGCTCGACCTAATAATGTGTAAATGTTGGTTAAATTCAAATCAGTCTTGGGTAAATCAAAAGACAGATTCCCTTGGACAGTGAGAAGTTTATTCTCTTAGGGAACTAGAAATAGTTATTGTTGTAAACTCTTAATATTCAATCATGTGACTCTATATAAATCACATTGTATCTCATTTTAAAAGTTAGTTGGACAATATACAAAAGAAAGAAGTTCATAGTCCACTCTCATTCTCTTTAATTTCTTCAAATTGGTATCAGAGCGCATGCCAAATATGTTGGGACAAATGCCACTGCCACGACTTTCAAAGTCGAATTATGAGAACTGGAGTATCCAGATGAAGGAAACATAGTCTGTATCGGACTATATCACTCGTGTGCAGACAGTGGCAAAATCAACTCAATCGAAATGGAGAAGCAATGTCTGATGCTCGTATTGTCGAAAAGATTCTGAGATCTTTGACAGACAAGTTCGAAAACATAGTATGCGCAATAGAAGAAGCAAAAGACCTTTCGACAATCACTGTCGAAGAAGTGGTTGGTTCGCTTGAGGCACATGAACATCACAAAATAAAGAAGAAGGAAGAGACACTTGAGGATGCAGAACCCAACAGAGATGAATAGACACTTTTATCTCAAAATTGGCGTGGGAGATGACATGGACGTGGAGGACGTAATGGTGGTCGGAGTTACCAAAATAACAACTTTGACAAAGGACAGTCAAGTCAACAAAACTGGCGTGGAAGAGGATGTGGCCAGAGAGGTGGTAGATCAAATTACAACAATATTAAATGTTACAAATGTAACAAACAGGGGCACTATGCGAAAGATTGCAACTCCTACAGTTGTTATAACTGTGGTAAAATGAGACATCTTGCAAAAGATTGTCGTCTCAAAAGAAAGGTAGAAGAAACAACAAATCTTGCCCTAGAAACAGAATCGAATGAAGGATTTCTGTTAATGACTCAAAAGGAAGCAAATGCAGAAAATGACACTATGTGGTACCTGGACTCAGGAGAAAGCAACCATATGTGTGGTCATAAGCACTTGTTCAAATAAATAAAGAAAATTGAGGATGGTCATGTTTCGTTTGGAGATGCGTCGAAAGTAAGAGTCGAAGGAAAAGGAACAATCAGTTTCTTGAAGAAGGATGATTTGATAGGATCTATCCAAGAAGTGTACTATGTACCAAATCTCAAAGAAAATATTTTGAGTTTGGGATAACTCACAGAAAAGGGTTATTCGATTCTCATGGAAGATCGAAGCTTACACCTAAAAGACAAGTCAGGACATTTGGTTGCTCAAATCGAAATGGGGAGAAATCGAATGTACAAGTTAAACTTGAGAAGCATTCGAGAAAAATGTTTGCAAGTCAATGTCGAAGACCAAACATCCCTATGGCATCTTCGTTTTGGTCATTTACATCAAGCTGGACTAAGGAGGTTAGTAAAGAAAAATATGGTGCATGGACTGCCAGACGTGGAATTCGAAAGAAAATTCTGTGAAGATTGTGTGTTTGGAAAACATACGAGAACCTCATTCCAATCGAAGGCAGAATATCAGGCCAAACAAATTCTGGAATTGATTCACACTGACATATGTGGACCAATTACCCCAGAATCCTTCAGTGGCAAAAAGTACTTTATATGCTTTATTGATGATTTCTCAAGGAAAAGTTTGGTGTACTTTCTGAAAGAAAAATTTAAAGCCTTCGAAGTATTCAAGAAGTTTAAGATAATGGTTGAAAAAACAACAAACAAGCACATCAAAGCCCTTCGATAAGACAAAGGTGGGGAGTATACTTCGACAACCTTTATGAAGTACTGTGAAGAGCAAGGCATAAGAAGATTTCTGACTGCAGCTTACTCACCCCAACAAAATGGTGTAGCGGAAAGGGAGAATCGAATAGTCCTTGACATGGTTTGATAAATGCTGAAGAGCAAAAAAATGTCGAAGGAGTTTTGGGCAGAAGCAGTACAATGTGCTATCTACGTTCAAAATAGATATCCACATTCGAAGTTGGGAGATTTAACACCTCAAGAAGCTTGAAGTGGTCGAAAGCCAACTGTGTATCACTTTAAAGTGTTTGGAAGTGTGGCTTATGCACATGTACCTGATCAAAGAAGAACAAAGCTGGAAGATAAGAGTCATAAATACATACTCATTGGGTATGATGAGAAAACGAAAGGTTATAGACTTTTCGACCCAATAAACAAAAAAGTGATAGTGAGTAGAGATGTTCGAGTGAACAAAGAAAGTAAGTGGGACTGGGACAACTCAACTGAAGTTATGGTCGAAGTACCAGATTCTATATCAAAAGACACTTCGACAGAACCAGAAAACTCTGATGATGAAGAAGGACCCTCACAGCCCATGTTGCGAAGTTTACAAGACTTGTATGAAAACACAGAAGAAGTGCATCTCATACGCTTGTTGGCAAACACCGAAGATGTCAGTTTCGAAGAAGTAATAAAGAACAAAAATTGGAAGGATGCTATGAATGAAGAAATTAAGGCCATCAAACGCAATAATACTTGGGAACTAGCATAGTTACTAAAAGGAAGTCAAACAATTGGTGTGAGATGGGTGTTTAAGAAAAAGATAATGCACAAGGTGAAATCGAAAGATGCAAGGCACGACTTGTGGCGAAAGGATACAGGCAGAAAGAAGGAATTGATTATGATGAAGTCTTCGCACCTGTTGCGAGAATGGAGACTATTCGACTGCTCATATCTCAAGCTGCTCAATACAAATGGAA